AAAGACGCTGAACACTGGTAGTTCTGTCTGAGGTTCGAATCTCGCGAACGGGCTGGCTGCATGGGCATTTTCGTGGTTTTCCCCATGTGTAACGTGTATACGAGCCAGTTTCCCTAAGAAAGTTCTCCACGAAGGCATCCCTTTCTTTAGGCAGATAGCCCTCATATGCTTTGCCATAATTGAATAAACCAATCCAATTCTGAAGCCATTTCACGAATGTTAAGTCGTTTTTATTAAATTTCGCAATTACCAGATTTTGCCGCGTACATAAAAAAAAAAAAAAAAAAAATCCCCTCAGAATTTCAAGTTTTTTTCAATCTTTCACTTACATTTTATTTGTAATTGTTAATTCTCATAATCTTGATTTGAAATTCAGTTATTTAAAGTAATTTTGATATAAATTTCCATCAGAATATTTAGAAAAATTACTCTAAAATCTAATACTTCTGTAAAATCCTAGGAAGAGCCTTCACTTCAGAAACTAAGACACAGGTTGCAGCATCTAAGAATATGCGCATTGTTGTTAGGAGTTGATTAACTCCTGTATTAATAAACTATCAAATTAGCATAGACTTTCTGCCTGTTCCAACTAAAATTCCCTAAAGGGATAAATTGGTGTTGACTTTTCCCGCGGCGGAGGTAAAATACAGTTAGAACAGAACGGAACGATGACATGACAAGATGTATAGATCTGGCAGTGTGCCGTGTATTTTCCATATTTTGTTTGAGTCATGTTTGTTATTGTTTTCAATAAATAATTCAAGACAACTACTGTAAATTAAATGACTCAAAACTTCAAAACTAAGACACCACATTGTTGGCGAACTACGGACGTGGTTTAGGATTACTGCTAACCTTCTGATGGAATGTGAACCTTTCTTTGTCTTGGAAGTTTCTGATTCACGACAATCGAAGAGGTAGGTCCCTCTAGATTCCGTTCTTGAAGTGTTATGATTTTGTATGTGATAGGCAGTTTTGAAATTTATAGTGGTGATTTGATTATATTTGGTTGTTGTAAATTGATTTGAAATTTAGTTTGGAAAACAGAAGTAGTTTATGCAAACATGGTGAAAAGAGTTGAAAGGTTAAGGCAGAAACGAAACTGCATTAGACAGCTTTTTTGTAATCTTTTGACAAAAATTGAAGATCCAATAAATAAACCTTTAAGTGAACTTTACAGTAAAGAACAAAAACTTGATGATCTTTCTGATCAAAGAAACCAGTTGAATGAAAAGATAAAGAATCTTAAGGGTTTAGATAGTGAAATAGAAGCGATAATCGATATAGATGAGTTAGAAAACGAAATTGCTGAGAGTGAAGAGTATCAGGAACGCGTTATTCAATGGAAAACGAAATTAGATAGGCATATAGAAAGTGCTTTGAATGGGGCTTCGCAAAATTAAATTCGGGCTAATGAAAACGTTAGGTTGGAACAACGAGTAGTAAGAAACGAAAGTAGTGTAGTTTAGCTTCCGAAATTAAGTATTGAAAAGTTTTATGGTGATTGTAGTTCTTGGTTGGAATTTCTGGAATTCCTACGAAGCAGCTATTCATAATAACATTTCCTTAAGTAAGGTTGAGAAGTTTTCGTATCGGAAAACATTTTTAAAAGGGACTGCCTTGTCAGCAGTTTCGGGATTTTCGTTAACAAACTAAAATTATGATTCCTCAATTAAGTTGTTAAAAGAAAGATTCGGAAGGCTAGATTTCATTTTAAGCTCGCACATGAATAAACACTTTCTGATTGATTCCGTTAAGACGTGCGCGAAATTTCCAGCATTGCGAAGAATGTATGATACGATTGAGATTCAAATTCGATCATTAACATTTTTAGGTGTTGCAGCAGACACTTATAGTAGTTTACTTTGCTCGTTAGTACTACAGAAAATTCCAGAAGAGCTAAATTTGTATTACAATAGACAACGCGAATCGCGTGAATCATTTGATATAGAGCACTGAGTTTTTGAGAAAAGAGGTAGAAATAAGAGAAGCATCTTCTTTATTATCAGATTAAAAAAACTTTAAGCGAAATAAAATTCCTTTTAGTAACAGAGGAACGAGTCATTATCAGAATAAAAATTATGTAGACTCAAAACGAAACATTTCAAACGCGCGCATTCCAACAGCAGCTGCTTTAACAGCCGTAGCGAATGAAATATGTAGTTTTTGCTCGGATAAATCTCACGAAACGTATAAATGTCCTTTACCATTAACCAAAAAAAGAAATTCGTTAATAACACAGAGACAATGTTACATTTGTCTAAAACGTAGACATACATCAAATGCTTGCTGGAAAAAGGACCAGCTATGCAAAATATGTAAAAAACCTCACAATTATTTAATGTGCGATAAGGTTGAACCGACAAATAATGCTTCCGAATCAAATGGTAAAGGAAAGGACAATAATTTATCTACGGTACCAGTCAGTGCATTGGTTCGGATAGTATCCGAACCAATGCACCGAAAAGGGAATTTGTAAACAAAACCGAGAACGCAGGAGCGTCGTCCCCGGTTTTATTACAAACATTCAGCGCTATAGTAAAAACAAATAAAAAGAGCGGAATGTTGAGGTTGTTAATAGACGGCGGGAGTAATAGAACGTATATAAGAGGAAAACTGCGGACTTGTTAGGATTGAAGGCTAGCAGATGCGAAACGTTTGAAATATATGGGTTTGGTAGCGAGCATAAACAGCGGTATAATATAGTTCAACTTGATTTGCTGGATAGAATCAACCCAAGTAAAAAATTCAGCATAGAAGCAGTGGTAATTTATGCGATTACGCATGACCACATAGAAGTTCCTTCAAAGTGGATTGGGTTAGTTTATGCTATTTAATTACGGCAAAGCCTCGAGAGCTATCTTCCTAAGGGAAGGGATGCTTTCGTAGAGGACTTTCTAAGGGAAACTGGCTCGTATACACCTTACACATGGGGAAAACCATGAAAACGCCCATGCAACCAGCCCGTTCGCGGGATTCGAACCTCGGACCGAACTACCAGTGTTCAGCGACTTTACCGCTCGGTCACTGGTGGGTCCGTCAAAGTGGATTAGAAACATAGTTCTAAGTAAGGGAATACTATCGGCCGACACTGGAAATCGAAGCAGATACACATGTTGATCGCCTCAGATTACATTTGGGCAATTTGTATGAAAGAAACATAAGATTAGGGAAACGATTAGTTATTATGGACCGTTTGTTTGGGTTTGTAATCCAAGGTAAGGAAATGGGATCGGATAACCATGGAAATTATGATAAGACTTGTATAAACCATATCTTTGTGAAGGAAAAAAAAAGATTTTGAAAGAGTTCGGAATTTATGGGATCTGAGGGCTATAGGAATAAATCAGGAGAAGGAAATTTCGCGATCAGATGCAGATGTCATAGACATGTTTGAGAGAAATACTACGTTTAAAAATGGGAGGTATGAAACTAAATTGTTATGGAAGGAGGGCTGTAATACATTGAATAGTAATTATGAAGTTGCAGAAAGACGTTTGATATGCTTAAATAATAAATTTAGGCATGATCAGCATCTGCATTTTCGTTATAAAGAAATAATTAATGAGCAGCTAAGGGATGATATTATTGAGCAAGTTGCATTTCATGGAGATTGATAGAAAAATTGGTTATTTTATGCCTCATCATGCTTTAGTACGCGAATCAAAAAGAAAGTACGAAAGTTAGGATTGTGTATGACGCGTCGTCGAAAGTTAGAGATGGACAGTCGCTGAATGATTGTTTAGATAGTGGTCCCAGCCTTAATCCAGATTTGCTCAGGATTATTTTAAGATTTCTTTATCACTCAATTGCGTTTTGTGCTGATATTCAGAGGGCATTTTTGGAGACTGGCAGAGTAGAGTTTTGCAGTATTTATTTAGAAATGAAGGGGGAACCGAACTTGATTTCAATGGTCATGATATCAGAATTTTACGAATGACACGTATTCCTTTCGGTGTGAAATGCAGTCCTTTTATTTTATTCCTTTTATTTTAACATCAACTATACGACTTCATTTAAAGAAATATGAAAATTCAAACAATGAAGCATGTTCTATTTTCAAAGAACTTTATGTTGATGACTTACTAAGTGAGGCATCAACTGTTGAAGAAGCGAGACTCTAAATTTATATTGAGTGAAGCAAACATGAATTTACGGCAATGGTCTTCTAATTCAGCTATCCTTCATCAAAGATGAAAAGAAACCCAAATGGAATGTCGAATGCCATCGAATCAAACAGATATACCGGTAAGGGTATTAGGATCAATTTGGGATAATGATAAGAACACCTTGAAGATAGATCTGAATCAGTTTACAAAATTTAAATATGTGACACCAACAAAACGTACAGTTCTAAGTGCATGTGGCATGTTGTTTGATCCATTAGGTTCATTACACCATTCAGTGTTAGTAATTAAATTGATAGTGCAGACTGTTTGGGAAAAGGCTTAACATGGGATGAAAATATTCCATCAGAATTGGAATATATGTTCCAGGAGTGGTGGAATGAAGTAATCTAGCTTGAAAGGCTTGTTATACACCTCGACCATATTTTGATGAGCTGGAGATTCAGCAGCTGGAAGTATATATATTTTCTGACGCAAGCCCAAAAGCATATGGTTTTGTCGCATATTTCAAGATTAGAAACCATGAAAAATGTGCGACAAGTTTTATAATTTCAAAATGTCGTCTAGCTTCACTGAAGAAAATGACTTTGCCATGATTAGAACTACTAGGAAACTTGATTTCCGTACGATTGTCTGATTATATACGATCTACGTTTTTTTCTTTGAAAGAAAGTGACATTTTCATGTGGATAGATTCCACAGTATGTCTACATTGGATTAAAGGTGTTCCAAAGAATTGGAAGCAATTTGTTCGCAATAGAGTGTTGGAAATCAAAGAAAAGGCAAATCCATCGAATTGGAAATTTTGCAACGGAAAGCTGAATCCTGCAGACAAACTGACTAGGGGAGTAAGTGCACGATCTTTAATTAATGATGAAACATGGTGGAGGGGCCTCTTGTGTTGATGTTGTAAACAGTGAAGAAATACCGAATGCTGATATTGATACATTTGAAGCGGAAAAGGAGAGAAAAAAGAACTGTATTGCTTTACTAACATACGTTGAACGTACCGATAGCTTGTTAAATTTGCACAGGTACAGTGACTTACCTAAGGTTCTTCAAATCACTGCATACGTCCTACGGTTTATTAATAACTATAAGAAGAATTCTGAAAATTGTAAAGGAGCGCTAACTGCTGGATAACTCTCAAGTGCTGAACGCTACTGGATTCGTTTTATACAGCAAAGTGAATTTGAGAAGGATCTTCTTAAATTGACCCGAAAGGAATCACTTAGTTCTGATTCCAAACTATATGGTATAAGCCCTATCCTGACGGCAGGAGGACGCATATGTTTTGGTGATAGATTACAACATTCTGATTTTCAGTTTCAAGAAAAGCATCCTTGGATTATACCTAAAAAATCTAGATTCACTGAATTGCTAATTAAAAGAGAACATGAGAACTTGCTTCATGCTGGTGTTTCAGATACACTCACTCAAACTCTAGAAAATTATTGGATCATCCGAGGCAGACAAGCTGTAAAATCGTGCTTGAATAACTGTATCGTTTGCAGGAAATTTAAGGCAGAAAAGGGCACTCAAGTGATTGCTTCATTACCAGCGGATAGAATTCATGAAGCGAATCCCTTTGAAATCACAGCTGTTGATTTTGCTGGACCTTTGTTTATTAAAAATGGATACAAGGTTTACATTTGTTTGTTTACTTGTGCAGTCACACGTGCAGTTCATCTTGAAATTGTTTCTAGCCTAAGCACCGAACATTTCATTCTAGCATTTCGTCGCTTTGTGACAAGAAGAGGTGTTTGCCGAACTATATACTCTGACAATGACAAAACTTTAAAAGGTGCAGATGTAGAACTGAAGAAATTATATGTAACTATCGTTGATCCACCTGTACAAAATTATTTTTTTATAAAAAGAATGAGATTGCATTTTGTTGTTGAAAGAGCAGCTTGGTGGGGTGGATATTGGGAGAGAATGGTGAAGATGACAAAAGGTATTTTGAGAAAATTACTAGGAAAGGCTTCAGTTTCCTTTGAAGAATTACAAACCATTTTGACTGAAATAGAATCTGTTCTAAATTCTAGACCACTTAATTACGTTTACAATGATCCATCAGAGCCATTCCCTCTCACTCCTACTCATTTCCTAACTGGAAAACGGTTAACATCCTTACCGCACCAGGCTGGTCATGTTAAAGAACATATTGCAAGTAACAAAAGGATTTTAATTAAAAGATATGTGTATCGGGAGAAAATTTTAAATGATTTTTGGGGACTATGAAAAAGAGAGTATCTTCTCCAATTAAAAAGTGCAAATTGTTTCAAACCTGTTAATGTAGTCACTGATTTTAATATAAATTATGTAGTTTTGATAGGGGATGACAAACTACCTCGGCAGCTGTGGAAGCTGGGAAAGGTGATGGAGTTGCATAGAGGCCGTGATAACAAGGTAAGAAGTATCGCAGTGAAAACTTCTTCAGGTGTAATAAAAAGGTCTATTCAGATGCTATATCATTTGGAACTTGGAAAGACATATGAATGATTCTTTTTAGAATTTTCGGGTATCTATTTAAATTTGTTACTCGTGTTAGTTATTGTTTAATGATAATTGTTTTCTTTTCTATTTGCATTTAACTTGTGGTGGTTAGTAAGATAAAATATATAATAGTAACTAGTATGATGATAATGTCCTTTAAATACAATGTATTCATGCTATGTTGTATGCTACAAGTTTTGTAAAAGTATAAGATGTACTATTTTTTGTAAAATTTTGAATTTATGATAAATGCCTTCATCGCGAGGCGGAAGGATGTTTGTTCCAAAATTCCCTAAAGGGATAAACGAATGTTGGCTTTTCCCACGGCGCGGGGGGAAAATACAGTTAGAACAGAACGGAATGATGATATGGTAAGATGTGCACTGTGGATAGTTCATATTTGTTTATTATTACATACAATGCCGTATTATCCGGCACTGTATGATATTTCATATTTGTTTGAATCATATTTGTTTTTGTTTTCTATAAATAATGAAAAGACAACTACTGTAAATTAAATGATTCAGCACTTCAAAACGAAGACCTCACACTGTCAAATGGTGCGTTGATTTTTAGCGGAAGAAGCATCTCGCAGAAATGTATTTTTAGATATCATTTGGTCTTCGGGTATTTATTCGATTTTATCCGATTTAAGTTAATGAACCTCTTAGATAACAGTATTTGTTTATTTTCAACAGTATAATTCTTTGTTCAAAGGTGAGGAGCAATTACAATGTGAATTTTATTCTTAGAAGACGACGATAAGAATTTCGAGTCAATAAATCTTCGCAAAATATCCGGAAACCATAGAAAGTTCGTTTTCCTAAATTATATCAGAATGTATAATAAAGTCCTTAGATATCGAAATAATTTTTAAACTCAAAGCTTTGGTCTTCTGAATGCTGTATATACTTATCTTAACTTGACTATGTTGACTATGTTGTATCATTTGAGAGGCCAACTGCAGCGGCCAATGAAGCGAATTTTGAAAGTGAGTGGTATAATTACAAAAACTGAGAAACAGCAAAATAAAGTCAATAACAAATCTAAAAAGCGTAATAGATTTAGTATGAAACGACACCCAACATATATCAATAACTTGAAGAGAATCTCTGAATTCAGTCCCTCAATATTTAATCGTCGATATAAGTATGTCACTAATCCTGTCTATGACAAACATCCTTATAAACAAATATCCTTATAAAATTATCGCATGTAAGCAAGTTTCAATTTATTATAATAAGAAAATTATACAACAGTAGGACATTATTCTAGAATTACGAAATGTCAATACCGATCAGCAGCAATATATCACAGAGTTCGAGCTATAACTTCTTTTTAGGCATTCTGAGGCGTTTTATTTCAAACGCTAATTGCTCCATGCTTGGATAATACACATTCGTAAATCGTTAACGTAGCGGCATGGCAAGAAATACACTTGGTCTTTCCTTTAAATCAACAAGAAGAATTCCACTTCAATTTAATCAGGCGAATTCGGTAGCTATACAGCATTATTTTCATAAGAAATGATCCTGTGACAGAAATCTTCTGTCAAAATGTTTCACACTGACATGAGCTAATGTCATTTAACGCCATCAGACTGTAACCACATAGAATACAAATGAACTAACAGCAGATCATCAATGATGGTATGTCTTTTGTTTCGCAATGGCTTTTTGTGTAGTTACGGTTACATGGAAGAACACAGAACCTGTGAGACCAACATTCCAAATCTTTTATCAATCACAGAGAATACTATCCCTAATGATTAACCTTGTGTTGCGCTATAATAAATTATCAAGTATCCAATAGTACAAGTTTAATTGGTTTGACACAGTCAAATCTAATTTCGCATCCTCCGTTCTCAAAATATTAACCAAGGTGTTCCGTAGTAACCAAGGTGTTCAGTTGAGAAGTAGTTTCAGTGTTCTAATATGTGCCGTCTATTCTATACCGTCTCTTGTCAGCTTTTGTAAATGATCCTCGCGTTAACGTAGGACTAACACAAGGATTGTTTCCAAAAATAGTACTCACATCATGCAAAATTTGTCGTATATGGCCAACTGTAAGGTCATACTTCGCAATATTGTACAGTATAATTAACCTAACGTATAGGTCAAGATATCCGTACACTGTACGTACACATCTGCAAATTTTCGTCTAGTCAGAGTGGATACAATTGATAATGGCATCTTTTTTCTCTAAGTCAGTGAGCAACGTTGAGGGCAGTAGCCGCAATAGGAGAGTTTGGATCTGGGAAAAGTCTTGCCCTGCTGTGTCTCTCGTCAGGCGGCCGCACCCTCTGCACAAGAGACCTGTCATGATGTATTCCTCGTTATAATAGCTTTCTATGCTTAGATTCAGTACTAATTAGATAATCCAGTCCAAGCATTGTTTTTCAGACGTCCACTGCCTGCCATTTTATGTTTTCTGAGGAGATATGAAGTAGCGGTTACATCTAGGTACAGTCATCAATCCATCTCTGTGACTCAGAATTTGTGGAAAGAATTTACACTTTGCGATGTCATTAATGTCGGTGATCTCATATCAGAGGGTTTCCATTTTAGAGCATCTATTCAAGTTATTGTTGTATGTAGGCTGTACATTGTAATTTAGCGCTAAACGATCTAAACGAGGGGGTCAGTAATGCGAAGCACAACAACATTTTGCAGTATTCTGGCTTGTCTAGCAACGTTTATGAAAAATGTAATATAACAAAATTTGTCTGTAACCTTTTTTCCAATAACAAAGCACATTTTTGTAATATTACAACTTTTACAATCGATTCAGTTACCCTATTTTGATATAATTACTAATTCAGAGAAGGAATTTGCCTTGAAGGACTATTAATTTCGTTTTGACATTTTGCGTTGATTCACTATAAACGGCGAATTACTTTGTAAGTTGTTGCCATCAAATATCAGAGCCCTGTATTATAGTTAAAGAAATTAAGTAATGAAGAGTCTGCATATATGTATGTATGTTTCTCGTATTGTGATAAAACAACGGTACCTAGAGCCAGCCATCCAGTTTGGCATAACGTAATCCTCCGCCGAATATGGGCATCTGGAAGCCGTAATTTGGAATGTGAAATTTGTTTTATAATCTGCTTCATATTTTGTAAACCTTTAACGAATTTTTGATTAACAAACTCAACGATTTCAATGCGAGCAGTGTCAACACTGTACACACACACACACACACAAAAAAAAAAAAAAAAAAAAAAAAAACACTTTTATCTCGAGCTCGCGAGATTGTGTATCGCAATCCAAAAGATATGCTCATTTAAAAATTATTTTGCGATATTGTTGTTGAATTGAATTTTACGGTTTAAGCGCGAAGAACATGATATTTAGTAAATAAATGTAACACACAAAAAGGCCAATTTGTTCGTAATGTAAAATCTAAAAGCTCTCAGATTTATTTATTTATTTATTTTCTGTAGTTCAGTTGGTTTCTCCGCCTTGGCTATCGCCTAGAGCCGGCCCTTCCTCTACTCACGAACATGTTTTCAACTCCTGTGTCAGCCTCTGATGGCTTATGGTTTTGTATATTTATTTATTATTATTCTCATTGTATTTATTTTTATTCAATAGTAATTTTTATTATTGTAAATATACCGCGGGGGAACCGATGTGCTCCCGAACTCTCGCATATCTGAAATATGCGTTTTTAGTTGTAAAGGTTGTCGGCTCCTGATCTAGGCGTTTACTGTTTTGCCATCTCTCATAATTTTTGAGATAAAAGCAGTTTTTCTTTTAGAATTCGTCTGTAGTTTGTCACATGACAGAATGTCGTCTCCTTAATCTAGACAGGTCCAAACTAAACAGCTGTAGCTTTCAGCATTCAGAAGTTGTTCTGCTTTTGAATGACTTTCCATCCTGGCTAATCGCTATCCATTGTGATTACCAACAGATGCTATAGAAGCATACAAGGAGAGCGACAAAAAGAAACTTCGTGTAACATCACCCATTTAATAAGAAACTTCATTATAAGACTGTAAATATTAATTTAAAAATTATTTAATATAATGTTTAACGAGTTAAATACTTTAGCTATTTCTTGCTTAACAGAATTTTTTTCTTTTCGCCTCTCTTTTTTTATATATATTATTTCAATTCTCGGTACCGTGAACTTCGCAAAATTGACGTTGTAAACCGCAATCAATAAAACCAGCGAAAAAGTTCGAGATTTTTCATACGATTTCCCGACGATATTCCTTTTTCTTTTCCTTTTATAAAATTATTCCCTTAATTAAAATCCACATTTTTAGTTTCACCAGTTATAACGATCAGTGCAGACGGGAGCGAGAAATAGTTGAAACATTATCGAACCCTTGTTTAAAATCGACTATAGGACCTTCGCGTTATTCCATCAGTATCCAAGCATTACATCGCAATATATGGGAGAACTAGCTAAATGTCTTCAGTCACTGACATTATTTTCATAATGAAGCAATGAATGTCATTTGAATTAATAGGGAACAATTAGTAGCTCAGCAGCTTTGCATCATTCATACTTATTTGAAAATAACTTTGTATCCTCAAAAGAATCTAAAGCAAGCCACTTAAGAATTGGGCTAACATCAAATTACAATTTTTCATGAAATGATTTTTTTGCAGCATTTTACCTGCAGATTTTAATCTTTTATCAGTTCATAAAGATATCATCATCGGAGTGAAATGTTACTGACTATAAAAATATTTCAAAAATTTGCAAAAAAAAAAAAAAAGAACAAATTTATCTTCATATTTATTAATTAAACAAACTTAGAGTGCCCTGAAAATTTCTAATGTGTTGAACATTTTATCTTTTGATATAAATGATGTAAAATTCCTGTATCTTAAATCTTGTGAATTAAAATAACATGTTAAATTTATTTCAGCCTTGATTTATTTCCGTGTTTGCTCCAA